AGATGTGCAGAACACGAGACCCATGGAGAATTGTTTCTCTATTCCAGGTTGACTCTGTAAGATTGGGGTAAATTTGACTGGGAAGTCCTGCTTGGTCGGGATCAGTTGCCAGTTCTGCTGATTCACCAAAGGGTGTTGGCACCAAACTAAGGGGTCAGCAGTCTTCATAATTTTGTGTGAGCAATGATGTAATAGGCCATATATCCCAGTTAGTGCTGTTCATCTCTGCAATAGATAGGATACATATGTTTTTGTGGTACATAGTTATTATGATGCCACTTTTTGCATATTTATTTAAAAGTGGGCAGAAGCAAAGTATCACATTATATGCTTAGATTAAGATGAATTTAACTTAGCTACTGCTGTTGCTTTGGTTAATCATCACAGGAATATGCAGTCCTTATTTGCTTGGTTTATAAACTATGACTATATCTTTAAAAAGCCTTAAAATTAGCCAGTTTAAGTATGACTTTATCTTTGTTTCAGTGGTATAGCTCACTGTTTTAAAAAATTATTTTAACTGGTGTATAAAAATGTAAATAATTTTTGTAAAGATTTTTAAATCTTATAATCCTGTTAAACTTGTATGTAATTCTGATCTATCTGTGGCTTCTTAGCCATTTTGGTATATTCTTGGAAGGAAAAGCAGTTACTAGGTTAGCACTATACACTGTCTTGAAAGTGGAAGCTCCGGGTTGCTATTTAAAACTTAGCATCTTTGAGTTTAATATCGGAGTCACCTTTAAAGATCAGATCCAGTGGTTTTCAATCAGGGGCATAATATGAGAATCACTTGTGGAGCTTTTGTTCCATCCCAGACGTACTGAATCTGAATTTTCAGAAAGGGGGTTCAGAAATAGTATTTTGTTTAAGTTCTACAGGTGATTCTGATACCCACTAGTGGTTAATAACCACAATCTGTTCAGCTGTCTTATTTTAGAGATGAGAAACTGAGGCCTAAGAAGTTTGTACACAATACTCTATCCTCCTGATTCTCCAAAGTCCTAGAAATTTTTCCACAATATTGTTCTATATACAGTACTGTGGAGGGGCAATGCACACACAGGGATTAGGTTAAACATCCAGAAAATGGACCAAATTGAGTCCAAAATTCTCACTGTAACCAGAATTTGATAAACATTTTTGTCTTCTAGCCCAGGCTGAAGCACAGTGGTACGACCATAGCTTACCACAGCCTCAACCTTTTGGGATCACCCAATCCTTCTGCCTCAGCCTCTTGCGTAGCAAGGACTACAGGTGCATGCCACTGCATCCGGCTAACATTTTTAGTTTTTGTAGAGACAGGGTCTAGCTGTGTTGGCCAAGCTGGTCTCGAAATCTGGGGCTCAAGTGATCCTCTCACCTTGGCCTCTCAAAGTACTGGGATTACAGGCATGAGACACCTCACCCAGCTCATTTTGATGATTTAAAGCAAATACTGTCTATTGATAGTTTACCATTATGCAAAATCTAAATTTCCTATTATTGTTTAGTAATTTAACTTTTGAACTGACATAAATGTGGTATTTTTCATTCTTTCATTTAGTGAACATTCCTCCAAGTAGACCAACACCTTCAGACATGGCCATTGTTATGTATACTAGTGGTTCTACTGGCCGACCTAAGGGAGTGATGATGCATCATAGCAATTTGATAGCTGGAATGACGGGCCAATGTGAAAGAATACCTGGACTGGGGTAAGATAATTTTTTAACTTTCTTCTTAGATATCAGAGTTCATGCTCAGCATTCTCTAAACTCAATCTATAGTAAAATGATAAAATTTGTTATTGGTATTTATAACTTCAAATGCCTTTTCAAGAATGGTTAAAATATTTCTCTTATTTTGTTTTAGACCAAAGGACACATATATTGGCTACTTGCCTTTGGCTCATGTGCTAGAATTGACAGCAGAGATATCTTGCTTTACCTATGGCTGCAGGATTGGATATTCTTCTCCGCTTACACTCTCTGACCAGGTGACAAACTTTTCAGTATATTGGCATGATCATATGATGCTACATAGTTTGGCTGAGAACACATTACTAGGACATGAGATATTTTAATTCAGCTAAAGCGTTTTCCTTGACATCAAAATAGCTTCCATGAACAATAGGTAGCTATAGTAAATTACCCCGCAGATTTGTTAGCATTGCTTTAGCTATATATTTTAAAATTATTTCTTTTTCTTTTCTTTTCTTTTTTTTTTTTTGAGATGGAATCTTGCTCTGTTGCCCAGGCTGAAGTGCAATGGCATGATCTTGGCTCACTGCAACCTCTGTCTCCAGGTTCAAGTGATTCTCCTATCTCAGCCTCCCAAGTAGCTGGGATTACAGGAACTCACCCCCATGCTCAGCTATTTTTTGTATTTTTAGTAGAGACGGGGTTTCACCATGTTGGCCAGGCTAGTCTCAAACTCCTGACCTCAGGTGATCCGCCTGCCTCAGCATCCCAAAGTGCTGGGATTACAGGCATGAGCCACTGCACCCAGCCTTAAAATTATTTCAAAATGAAAAATTACTTTTATCTTTCTCTACTAGATTTTTACTTTTGAGAGCCATGATAGAGAATATAAATACAATGAGCCTTTTTGACACACTAACCATGAGCATTGGTGGGTTTTTTTGGAAGGAGATATGATAGGGTTTTGGCTCAGTTTTCCCGAGATTTTTCTAGAACAGTGCTGTCTGATACAGTAGTCACTAGGCAGATATTTAAATAAAAATTAAGTAAAATTAAATTGAAAAAAAAATTTTATTTGCTTTGGCCATATTTCAAGCTCTCAGTAGCTGCATGTGACTAACAGCTACCATATTAGGCAGCAAAGATAAAGAATATTTTCATCATCACAGAAAGTTCTGTTGGTCAGCACTGAGGCAACTCCAAAGGTAGTCTCAGCTTACTGTACTAAGTCAGGATTCTTCCTTCTCCCTGTGGTTCATAGGAGAAAGCCCAACAATGGGTAGGGTTAACTCATGTATGTTATGCCCATTTGAAATTACACACCTAATACCTATTGGTGACAGTTCTGGTTTTGTTTGTTTGTTTGTTTTTAAATTTCTTCTTTGGAATAGTTGATGTAGAAAAGCTTCAAACAGGCATGGGGTAAAAAGGAGCTACTAAAGAAGCTGTGGGGTTCCAGATGCTGAAAGAAAAAGCGAGTATAGATAGAAATGACTTGTCAATATGTGGCTCTGCTCCTCCAACACTGCGGGCCCGACTGTTATTTTTCAGAGCCCTCCAGGCAATGCTGCCTTTTGTTTGAGAGTCTCTATGGAGCATGCAGTTGGTAAGATATGTCCTTGGTGCTCACAGTTAGAAATTGTAATACTTTATTTGTAGAAATACCATTTTAGGGAGAGGTTAGGTAGGTTGTATACTATTGAGACAAAAAGTTAAATAGTTTCTTTTTTTTTTGGACTTGAGATTCCAATCACCTTTTTTTTGTTTTTTTTTTTTTTTAGGTGTATGACTCAAAGTGTACAAATATTAAGTGTATTGCTTGATTAGATTTAATAAGCATATACACATATAGACCTCTGTGATCATCACCATCTAGATTAGGAAAGCAAAGAACATTTTCAGCACTCTTGAATGTCCCTTGTGTTCCCTCCTAGTCATTACCACATTGGATTCTCTTTGAAAGAAGAATCCAGCTGAGCATAGTGGCTCACACCTGTAATTCCAGCACTTTGGGAGGCCAAAGTGGGTGGATCACAAGGTCAGGAGTTCGAGACCAGCCTGGCCAATATAGTGAAACCCCATCTTTACTAATAATACAAAAAAATTAGCCAGGCATGGTAGCGGGTACCTGTAGTCCCAGCTACAACTGAGGCAGGAGAATTGTTTGAACCAGGAAAGCAGAGGTTCTAGTGAGCCAAGATAGCACCACTACACTCCAGCTTGGGTGACAGAGTGAGACTCCATCTCAAAAAAAAAAAAAAGAAAAAGAAAAAAAGAAAAGAAAGAAGAATCCACTCTCCTTTTAACGTGGCTTTTTCTGTGAGAAAAAGCTCTGTTCCAAATAACTTCTAACTTTGTACTTTAAGAAACATAATCTCTTTGTACGACAGGGTGCTGCTGTATTTCACTATAGCACTCAGCTATAAGTTCACACTTAAGATCTGCTAGAATAGTAATGAGGTGAATAAATACACTATCCAACTGATAAACAGAACTTGATCTAGTAAAATCAAAGTAGACCTATCAATAAGACTGAGGCTTAAACTCTAAAAAAATTAGTAAAATCTGTGATGAATATGTTTTATTGTCGTGCATTTTTCTTGTGATCAGAGACATTATTAAAATGTAGAAAACATTTCAGTAAACTTTGAGTATATATATTTTTCCCTTTGTGAACTTCAGAAGCTGTGACTAGCCATTCTTTTCTTTTTCACTGACTTTCTGAGAACAATAGCCTCAGTGTGGAAAGGAGGGACAGTTGGAGCCTGTTGCTGGTCTGACTTAATTCTTGCTGTCTCTTAGGCCAAGCTAGTACATTAGAAACCTGTTCAATAAAATTCACACCTACTTTTAAAATGAACTTTACTATAAAGACTCTCAATCTTACTAGGAATCTAAAACCCAGGAACCTCCTTCACATAGGAAATTAGAAGAACGCAGGAGACTAGAAGCACCTCATTTGAAGCCAACTGATGATAGCAATATTGTCATAACCAGGATTACTATGATCACAAGAAGACAGCATAACTGATAAAATTACTAAAAGTAAAATAAATAAATAAATAAATAAGGGCTTCTTATTGCTTCTGCTATCCTGGAATCACTCTCTGTAGCAAAAACTGGTCAATAGCATGCAGAGGGTAACTCTGACCTGAAGAACATGAGAGCCCATTTTGTCTCTACAGAACAGCCCTTCTGTGTATGGTATACATGGTTTGTGTGTAAGTTTCCACTTGCAAATTTGCATATACTTGCACATACATAAAATGAGTTATTTTATCTCCTTTATCCAGATTAAATAAAAGTAGGAGAAAGGCAACTTAATTCTACCAGGAGAACTCTCCTCTCTATGGCCGAGCTGGTAGTTCTTAATGGATCACAGTGCTTAACAGCTGGTTTTCTTCTTCCCTGTATTAGCAATGGCTAACATATTGTAAACACCTAAACTTGCAGGCTAATGAACTGTGTTACAGCAGATTTTTGTTTTTATCTTGCTTTTTCGGTGGGTTACTTTATCAACTTTTCTACCAATTGTTCTAACGTTTGAAATCCCAAATATTATTTATGTGTATAAGAAAGAAAGATAAAAAGGGAATATGTGCATGTTTATGTATATATATGTGTAGCCCTACTTTGTCCCTGGCAGTGTCCTCTGTATCTTACCAACCAGAATATTACCAAATTAGGGTTTCACTATGTTAATTGATGTTCACAGTGGTGTCTTTAAGATTTGGCTTTGCCTATTGGTTGATCAAAGAAAGTTAAAATCACCTTCAATTTTGTTTTAGTGTTATGTCTGTCTTAATCAAGTTTTTTTGGCAAATGTAGTAGTAGTCTGTGCTATATTTGAAAATATGTTGTTAATAAGAATGTTTGATGCATCAAAATATTCCATTCTCTTATTATCCTGCATCAAGATTTCTCCTCTAAGGAAGGTAGGAAGGTGAAATGTGCTAGAAGTTATCTGTAGCACTAAAGTACTTAACCTTGAATTTGTAGGTTGTGATAGTTGTTAACAGATAATCACAGAGCAATAAAAGCTCCAAGTCCATGTTTAGCTTCTGTATTTATTATTAATATTTGAATTACAACATGATTTGTTAAGGTTGCTTTTCCCAATCATATTTACTTTTTCCTCAATATAGTCCAGCAAAATTAAAAAAGGAAGCAAAGGAGACTGTACTGTACTGAAGCCCACACTTATGGCTGCTGTTCCGGTGAGTACAGAATATGAATATGAATATAAAAGGATTGTTTATATAATTTATTGCTTGTACTTGGACCTTTTAAAAAGTAATATGCTTCGATATGTATCTATATTTTAAAATAATTTTGCCTTGTTGAAATCACAGCAAATGTGTTCATTAAAATCTTAAGTACCATACTGGGGAAGACAAAATGGTAAGCTTTTGAAATGTATGCCTGTTTGAGTTTGCTGATACATGAAAATTAGGTGATGAAAATGACCTAGTTCAGATTACCTACTGTGAGAATGGGTCAGACTGTTTTAAGGTAGAATATACTCTAAAGATCATCTTGTTTAATGTCTTAATTTAAAACAAATGAGGAAACTTTAGGCCATCCTAAGGAGCTGAGGAATCATATACAAGGTGGAGGATCTAACCCCTCCCAACCCTCTTATGGTGATTAAGTAAACTGAAAATTGGAGAGTGCTTCCAAAGGAAAAAAGTGTAATTCTATATATTCAGAATCCTTATGTGAAATACTGCCTTTAGAAAAAAACAAGATGTTACATTTTATAGCCTTGTAATAATGAATTTTGGAACATTTAACACCATGTTTCAGATTTGTGTAATCAAATATGTTCTAGCTTTTTTTATGCTTCAGAAACCCCAGAAAGACTGTGTATCACTATTGCTTATTTTATGATCAGACTTGAAATCTTATCCCAATATCTTTCACAGAATTACTTTTGTATATGGAAAGTCTAAGATTAGATAAGAAAGTGTTCAGTCCAGGTTTTCCTGAGAATTACAGATGGAAGGTACTTAATGGTCTTCTTAGCTTCTAATTGCAAAATTACCAAATAACAAAGAAGTAGAATAGGTCAGAGGAGCCTTTGCCTTTTTATTTAGAGGTGCTGTATAATTCATAATGTTTTCAAACAGAAAGAAGAGGCTTCTGACTAAAACCATAACAAAAAGTTGCTAATAATAGCTAGTGTAGTGCTTCCTATGTCCTAGGCACTGTGTGAAATGCCTTTCTCACTTCATTCTTTCTAAGACTGCAAGGTGGGCCCTGTTATCCGTATCTTATAAAGAAGGAAAGTTGACCCAAAGCCACACAGCTCATAGGTGATGGAATTGACGTTTGAACTCCACCAATCTGATACTGGTGGAGTTCCAGTCCACCAGTGTTCTTAACCACTATGGCTATTTAGGACTGTTTTATGTTCTTGTTATTATTTCATTTTGGAAAACAATACATGGGCTTTATTATCTAGCATAAGGAATTCCCTAGTAAACCTTATCGGATAACATAGGAAGGGGTAAGTGCTGAGGTATCAAAGAAGTAATCTTAAATTTTAGGCCTAAAGGATAAGCACAGTTAGCAGATAGGCTGCTTATACTCTAATTGCCCATTGTCCATTCTTCCCTTTACTTTGTGTCTTGAGGGGCTATGTTCTGTGCATGAATTACCAGTGCTTCCTTGTCTTATGACTTCTAGTTGGGTTCAGCCAATTGGAGGCCCTCATGAGCGATCAGCGGGCAGAAAGATGGAGAGTATGCACACTTATTACCTTTGTTCCTTTGCTGCAAATTTTATTAGTCGTCAGGAGCCCCAGTTGGATAGTCTCCTTCCCATTGGTTGTAACCAGGTCTTTGCCATGGCTATAGTCCTCATCCAGGTTCCAGTGACACTTCTTTTTTTACTTCTTGAGGCCTTGAGATAGTTAATTGACTATGTTGCAAGTCCATTGGCACCTCATCAAGCATTATTGTTTCCTTTTTAGCTCCTCCTGTTCCTCCAGAAATAGGCCATTTTTTTTAAAAAAAAACACTTTTTATTGAGAATTATTTTTGATCGAGTCTGTTTTTTGAGTTTGTTTCTTTCCTGGGTTAGAATGAAAGATTTATTGAGTACTATAACATTCACAAAGAGAATTAAGAATAAGTCACTACTTATCAACAGTGGCTCCATTGAATATCCTGTAATGTTAGATTGAGATAAAGGGAGACTTAATGTGCCAACAATAAACCCCGCCAATGTATTACAACTTTATTATGTTCCTTACTGATCAAGACCTTGCCCATGTTTATGATTAGTATCTAGTGCTGAAAGGGGTAGTAGGCATGGTTCTTACACATCTGTCTCATTCCCAAGCACTTCCCCCCTCCTCCTCACCTCCCCCCTCCTTTTTAAGATCTCATGTGTTTTTTAAGAAGGATGGTTATAGGATATTCAAGTCCTGCTAGGGAATGATTGGGGTTTATGTCACAGATCTAGAGAAATATTTCAATTATATAATAGTGATTCCTTTTGTGGAAATGGAGAAAACAATAGTACCATGCTTGAGTGCTATGGTAACCATTTTAAGGAATAGTTCTGCTGTCTTCATTTGTGAGTGGCACTATTCTAATACTGAAAGAACTGCCCATTAAGTTATTCATTATAGCATACCTTAATTTGTACTGGTAATTGAAGTATTTAGAAAGACATATTTATAAACGGGTGTGCTTTATGTAATAATTCTTGTTAATTCGTGCTAAATAATTTCAAGAAAACATCATTTAGTGGTAGTCTGGGCTGTTTGGTTTTTTTGATTTGTATTAACCTGGGAGTCAGTATATCTTAAACCTGGTCCTACCTCCAATTTTCCAAGTTTGTGTGAGCAAGAATATTGTTCTTTGCGTCTATTAAAATGGAATAGAAATGCTTAAATTATAGATAACTTAGGATTTTAAGAAACTGTAGTGCTTTATGCCATGTTATAAGAGGGTCACAAAGTTGTAGTAAAAAAAGAGAAAAGCATCATGAATAGATTCAACATAGTTAGGTATATTTTGTACTGTTTGAGAATAAGTGAATATATTGTAAAGGAGAGATTAAATTTTTTTTTTCTGTGACAGCTGAGTGAATTCTTTAAACTCAAGCTAACGTTTCTTAAAAATTTAGATTAATGTAATACATAGAACTGAAGAAATCCCCCATATCTGTCCTTAGTCTTTTTGAAGTAGTGAACAAGTAATCAATGAAATTAAGTATATAATTAAAGAAACAAATATGTTCATTATGCTAAACACTTTTACCCAAGATGTTGCAAGCAAGGTACCTTCAACTAAGATCTATGTCCATTCTTTTCAGATTATTGAATATTTTGTTTAACTTTCAGGAAATCATGGATAGAATTTATAAGAATGTTATGAGCAAAGTCCAAGAGATGAATTATATTCAGAAAACTCTGTTCAAGATAGGGTATGATTACAAATTGGAACAGATCAAAAAAGGATATGATGCACCTCTTTGCAATCTGTAAGTACATTTCATAAGCTCTGTGGTTTGAGCCTTTAAATTTTTTTATGCTTTTAAATCCAGAATATGAATAAATAAATGGCAAGTTAATTCATTTGAATATCACCACCATGATCATAAGATTGAATTTCTCTTTTACTCTAAGTTTTATTGTTTATATAGCAAGCAGAGGACTCTGATCCTGGCCATTTAACAAATTTTACTAATTGAGTACATATTTAAGATTTAATTATAAAATTTAGTCTCATGAAGAAAAACTAAAATAGATGTTTGAATCAAATACTTGAGTATAAAAAATGTCATTTCTAACTAAAAAAACTGATCTTCATTGGATAAAGTTTTCTGATTTATTTTATTCAGAAAATAGTGTGGTAAGTATATGAATATAACCATTATTTTAAATGTGATGTTGAGGAGTGGGGCTGGGGAAGCGTTTTTTTTTTTTTTTGGAAGGGAGATAAGATAGGTAACTAAATGTTCCAAAGATAATTTAAAAATTTTCCTCTGATGTCATTATTTTCTTTCATTTACTGTGTATCAGCATAGTTTCCCTATACTGCACATTATTTTTCTTCATTGTTAAAGAGATTTTTCTGGCATTTTATTGTTATTGTACTTTAAGTTCTGTGGTACATGTACAGATCTTGCTGGATTGTTGCATAGGTACGCACATGCCATGGTGGTTTGCTGTTTCCTTCCCCCTGTCACCCACATCAGGTATTTCTCCCAGAATTATCCTTCCCCAACCTCCCCACCCACCACTGTCCTTCCCCTAGCCCCTCAACCACCAAGAGACCCCAGTGTGTGGTGTTCCCTTCCCTATACCCATGTGTTCTCATTGTTCAACACCTGCCTATGAGTGAGAACATGCAGTGTTTGGTTTTCTGTTCTTGTGTCAGTTTGCTGAGAATGATGGTTTCCAGATTCACCCATGTCCCTACAAAGGACACAAACTCATCATTCTTTATGGCTGCATAGTATTCCATGGTGTATATGTGTCATATTTTCTTTGTCCAGTCTATCATTGATGGGCATTTGGGTTGGTTCCAAGTCTTTGCTGTTATAAACACCGCTACAGTGAACATATGTGTGCATGTGTCTTTATAATAGAACGATTTATAATCCTATGGGTATATACCCAGTAATCGGATTGCTGGGTCAAATGGAATTTCTATTTCTAGATCCTTGAGGAATCGCTACACTGTCTTCCACAATGGCTGAACTAATTTACCCTCCCACCAACAGTGTAAAAGTGTTCCTATTTCTCCACATCCTCTCCAGCATCTGTTGTCTCCAGATTGTTTAATGATCGTTATTCTAACTGGCATGAGATGGTATCACAATGTGGTTTTGATTTGCATTTCTCTAATGACCAGGGATGATGAGCATTTTTTCGTATGTTTGTTGGCCTCATAAATGTCTTCTTTTGAAAAGTATTTGTTCATATCCTTCACCCACTTTTGAATGTTTGTTTTTTTCTTGTAAATCTGCTTTAGTTCTATGTAGATTCTGGATATTAGTCCTTTGTCAGATGATAGATTGCAAAAAAATTTTTCCCATTCTATTGGTTGCTGGTTCACTCTAATGATTGTTTCTTTAGCTGTGCAGAAAATCTTAAGCTTAATTAGATTCCATTTGTCTATTTTGGCTTTTGTTGCCATTGTTTTTGGTGTTTTAGTCATGAAGTCCTTTCCTATGCCTATGTCCTGAATGATATTACCTAGGTTTTCTTCTAGGGTTTTTTATGGTGTTAGGTCTTACATTTAAATCTTCAATCCATCTGGAGTTAATTTTAGTGTAAGGTGTAAGGAAGGGGTCCAGTTTCTGCTTTCTGCACATGGCTAGCCAGTTTTCCCAACACCATTGATTAAACAGGGAATTATTTCCCCATTGCTTGTTTTTGTCAGATTTGTCAAAGATCAGATGGTTGTAGATGTGTGGCATTGCTTCTGAGGCCTCTGTTCTGTTCCACTGGTCTATATCTCTGTTTTGGTTCCAGTACCATGCTGTTTTGATTACTGTAGTCTTGTAGTATAGTTTGAAGTCAGGTAGTGTGATGCCTCCAGTTTGTTCTTTTTGCTTAGGATTGGCTTGGCTATGTGGGCTCTCTTTTGGTTCCATATGAAGTTTAAAGTGGTATAGATTTGCATATGTTGAACCAGCCTTGCATCCCCAGGATAAAGCCTACTTAATTGTAATGGATAAACTATTTGATGTGCTGTTGCACTTGGTTTACTAGTATTTTATTGAAGATTTTTGCATTGATGTTTATCTTGGATATTGGCCTGAATTTTTCTTTTTTAGTTCTCTGCCAGGTTTTGTATCAGGATGATGTTGGTCTCATAAAATGAGTTAGGGAGGATTCCCTCTTTTTGTATTGTTTGGAATAGTTTCAGAAGGAATGATACCAGCTTTTCTTTATACGTCTGGTAGAATTCAGCTGTGAACCTATCTGGACCTGGACTTTTTTTGGTTGGTAGGCTATTAATTGCTGCCTCAACTTTGGACCTTGTTATTGGTCTATTCAGGGTTTCAGCTTGTTGCTGGTTTAGTCTTGGGACGGTGCAAGTGTCCAGGAATTTATCCATTTCTTCCAGATTTACTGGCTTATGTGCATAGAGTTGTTTGTAGTAATCTCTGATGGTAGTTTGTATTTCTGGGGAATTGGTGGTGATATCCTCTTTATCATTTTTTATTGCATCTATTCAATTCTTCTGTCTTTTCTTTTTTATTAGTCTGGCTATTGGTCTATTTTGTTGATCTTTTCAAAAAACCACCTCCTGGATTTATTGATTTCTTGAAGGTTTTTTTTTTGTCTCTATCTCCTTCAGTTCTGCTCAGATCTTAGTTATTTCGTGTTTTCTGCTAGCTTTTGAGTTTTTTTTTATCTTGCCCCTCTAGCTCTTTCAATTATGACAATAGGGTGTCGATTTTAGATCTTTCCTCGCTTCTCATGTGGGCATGTATTGCTATAAATTTTCCTCTAGACACTGCTTTAAATGTGTCCCAGAGAATGTGGTACGTTGTGTCTTCATTCTCATTGGTTTCAAAGAACATCTTTATTTCTGCCTTCATTTCATTGTTTATCTGGTTGTCATTCAGGAGCCAGTTGTTCAGTTTCCATGTAGTTGTGCAGTTTTGAGTGAGTTTCTTAATCCTGATTTCTAATTTGATTGCACTGTGGTCTGAGAGATTGTTTGTTAGGATTTCTGCTCTTTTGCATTTGCTGAGGAGTGATTTACTTCCAATTATGTGGTCAGTTTTAGAGTAAGTGTGATGTGGTACTGAGAAGAATGTATATTCTGTGGATTTAGGGTGGAGAGCTCTGTAGATGTCCTGGATAGCCATATTGATTTTCTGTCTTGTTGATCTGTCTAATATTGACAGTGGAGTGTTAAAGTCTCCCACTATTATTGTGCCGGAATCTAAGTCTCTTTGTAGGTTGTTAAGAACTTGCTGTATGTATCTGGGTGCTCCTGTATTAGGTGCATATATATTTAGGATCGTTAGCTCTTCCTGTTGCATTGATCCTTTTACCATTATGTAATGCCCTTCTTTGTCTCTTTTAATCTATGTTGGTTTAAAGTCCGTTTTATCGGAGACTAGGATTGCAACCCCTGCCTTTTTTTTGCTCTCCATTTGCTTGGTGAATCTTCGTCCATCCCTTTATTTTGAGTCTATATGTGTCTCTGCACATGAGATGGGTCTCCTGAATATAGCACACTGATGGGTCTTGACTTTTTATCCAATTTGCCAGTCTGTGCCTTTTGATTGGGGCATGTAGGCCGTTTACATTTAACGTTACTATTGTTATGTGTGAATTTGATCCTGCCGTTTTGTTACCGGCTGGTTGTTTTGCCCTTTAGTTGATGCAGTTTCTTCATTGCGTGGGTGGTCTTTACAGTTTGGTACGTTTTTGCAGTGGCTGGTATTGGTTGTTCCTTTCCATGTTTAGTGCTTCCTTCAGGGGCTCTTGTAAGGCAGGTCTGGTGGTGACAAAATCTCTTAGCATTTGCTTGTCTATAAAGGATTTTATTTTTCCTTCACTTATGAAGCTGAGTTTGGCTGGATATGAAATTTCTGTGTTGAAAGTTCTTTTCTTTAAGGATGTTGAATATTGGCCCCTACTCTCTTCTAGCTTGCAGGGTTTCTGCCAAGAGATCTGCTGTGAGTGTGATGGGCTTCCTTTTGTGGGTGACCTGAATTTTCTCTCTGGCTGCCCTTAGCATTTTTTCCTTCATTTCAACAGTGGTGAATCTTGACAATTATGCGCCTTGGGGTTGCTTTTCTTGAGGAGTATCTTTGTGGTGTTCTCTGGATTTGAATGTTGGCCTGCCTTGCTAGGTTGGGGAGGTTCTCCTGGATAATATCCTGTAGAGTGTATTCCAGCCTGGATTCATTCTCCCCGTCACATTCAGGTACACCGATCAAGCATAAATTAGGTCTTTTCACATAATCTCATATTTCTTGGAGGCTTTGTTTATTTCTTTTCACTATTTTTTCCTCTGATCTTGCCTTCTTGTTTTATTTCATTGAGTTGATCTTCAATCTCTGATATCATTTCTTCTGCTTGGTCGATTTGGCTATTGAAACTTATGTATGCTTTGCAAAGTTCTCGTGCTGTGTTTTTCAGTTCCATCAAGTTGTTTATGTTCCTCTTTAAGCTGGTTATTCTAGTTAGCATTTCGTGTAACCTTTTTTCAAGGTTTTTAGTTTCTTTGCATTGGTTTAGAATGTGTTCCTTTAGCTCAGAGAAGTTTGTTATTACCCACCTTCTGAAGCCTGCTTCTGTCAATTTGTCAAACTCATTCTCCATCCTGCTTTGTTCCCTTGCTGGTGAGGAGTTGTGATCCCTTGGAGGAGGATAGGCGTTCTGGTCTTTGATGGTTTCATCCTGTTTGCACTGGTTTCTTCCCATCTTCGTGGATTTATCTGCCTTTGATCTTTGATTTCGAATGGCATCTCTGAGTGGACGTCTCTATGTTAATGTTGAAGCTATTTCTTTTTGTTTTTTAGTTTTCCTTCTAACAGTCAGGCCCCTGTGCTGTAGGATTGCTGGAGGTCCACTACAGACCTTGCTTGCCTGGGAATCACCTGCAGGTGCTGCAGAGCAGTGAGGATTGCTGCCTGATCATTCCTCTGGTAGCTTCGTCCCAGAAGAGTACCTGGCAGGTGTCAGCCAGAGCTCTCCTGTATGAGGCATTTTTTTTGGTTATTCATGGGTCAGGGAGCCGCTTGAAGAGGCAGTCTGTCCCTTGTCTGCCTGCAGAGGTGCTGCTAGGCTGCCTGGGACTCAGCCTGGCTGCTGTATAGGCTTCCTCTGGCTTTTGTTTACACAGGTGAGATTAGACCTGCCTTCACAATGGCGGATGCCCTAACTGCCACTGAGTTTGATCATCCTGTGTCGAGCTTGAACTGATGTGCTGGCTGTGAAACTCTGAAGCGAGAGGGCTTCAGTTTGCTGGTCTTTGTGGGGGTGGGACCTGCTAAGGCATATCACCTGTCTCCCAGTTTTTAGCTCTCCCTCTTTCTGGAGGGCGGGTAGATCTGCCCTGTAGGTGCTTTCGGCGCTAGCCAAAAGTTCCGCCCAGATCTGTGCTGGAGCTGTCACTCAGATCTGTGTTGGTAACTTGCAGTGCTTTTCAGCCTGGTGTCATTTTCCCGGACTGTGGGTTGCAAAGGTCATGGGAGAAGCACAGTATCTGAACTGGAGTGCCATGGGGGTAAAGTCCCTGATCCTCCATCCAGTTGCACTTCCTGGGTGGGGCAGCACCCCTCTCTGCCTCAGCTTGCCCTCCTTGGGCTAACACCCACTGTCCAACAAGTCCCATTGAAATGAACCTGGTACCTCGGTTGGAAATGCAGAGATCACTCGCCTCTTGCATCTCTCTCACTGGGAATTGCGCTCTGGAGCTGTTCCTATTTGGCCATCTTGGCGGAAGTCCTATCTTTTCTGGCATTTTTTTTCAAGGTGTTACTAGTTGTTGCCTTGTTAACCTGTCATTCTCATCATGATTCTGACATTGAGATGTTTAACCAGTTGTGGAATCTTTCCTAGAGCTTATAAATTAGTGTGTTGCCAAGAATAATGTATGCATATACTAAAATCATTTATCCTCCTGTTTATCAAGGTTACTGTTTAAAAAGGTGAAGGCTCTGCTGGGAGGTAATGTCCGCATGATGCTCTCTGGAGGGGCCCCGCTATCTCCTCAGACACACCGATTCATGAATGTCTGCTTCTGCTGCCCAGTTGCCCAGGGTTATGGACTGACAGAATCATGTGGTGCTGGGACAGTTACTGAAGGTAAGCATTATTAATGTGGTAAATATTCTATATCAGCTGCTACTAATAAAATGCATTTGCATTACCTTTGGAAACCATGGTAACTTTAAAATACCTCTTAAGTAATATCAGATTCATTGCAAATTGATGTAGTTTTAGTTTTCTGAATTCTTAGTTATAAATATCATATGGACCCTTTAATTTTAAGCCAGATAGATAGATAGATAGATAGATAGATAGATAGATAGATAGTTTTTTTTTTGGGGGGGACAGAGTTTTGCTCTTGCTGCCCAGGCTGGAGTGCAATGGCATGACCTCAGCTCACTGCAGCCTCTGCCTCCTGGGTTCAAATGATTCTCCTGCCTCAGCCTCCTGAGTAGCTGGGATTACAGGCGTGTGCCACCATGCCCAGCTAATTTTTGTATTTTTAGTAGAGATGGGGTTTTGCCATGTTGACCAGGCTGGTCTCAAACTCCTGACCTCAGGTGATCTGCCCATCTTTGCCTCCCAAAGTGCTGGGATTACAGGTGTGAGCCACCGTGCCGGCCACCTTATAAATATTTATGCTACACTGTTAGTCCTCAAAATTCTGTCACCCTGGTCCTTTAGTCTTTTTTTTCTAAATGATCGCTTCTTTAGAGAACTATACTGATAAAAATGAAGTATCACTTTTATGCTCCTTAAATCTATGTTCCTGTCCTGACTTTGCCTTCCCTTTTGTTATTTTCAGCAGCCTAAAGCAAGGTTTCTCAACCTTGGCATGGTTCAAATTTTGAATCAGATAATTCTTTGTTTCTGAGGGCTCTTGCTTGCATTGCAGGATATTTAGTTGCCAAAGCAGATGTTTATGTGGTCTCCCCAGCTGTGACAATGAAACATATCCCCAAACATTGCCAGATATCCCATGGGGGGCAAAATCACTTTAGGTTTAGAAACACTGGCATATAGGAATTGGGTTTTTTTGGATGATCTTATTTTCACTTTAAACTCATTGTGTCCAAAATCAATGACATTATTCTAAATTGTCTCTCTATTGACAAATTTGTTTGTATCAATGGTATTGCCATCCTTAAAGTCATTCAGAGTATTAGCTTTGAAGCCATCTAATTGTTTATTTTAAAATATTTTCAAATGTCGTCAGATCATTCCTTGATTAGGTTGCTCCTTTCCCTCCATAACCTTTGTCATTTATCCAGTGTTTTATTGCTCCATTCGGCTTTGACCTAACAGCCTTTTTTTTGAGACTGAGACTCATTCTGTCACCAGGCTGGAGTGCAGTGGCATGATCATGCCTCCCAGGTTCAAGCAGTTCTCCTGCTTCAGACTCCCGAGTAGCTGGGAGCATGGGTGTGCACCACCATGCCCAGCTAATTTTTGTATTTTTAGCAGAGATGGGTTTCACCATGTTGGCCAGGATGGTCTCAATCTCTTGACCTCATGATCTGCCTGCTTTGACCTCCCAAAGTGCTGAGATCACAGGTGTGAGTTATCATGCCAGGCTTTTTTTTTTTTTTTTTAAGACAGAGTCTCGCTATGTTGCCCAGGCTGGAGTGCAGTGGCACAATCTCAGATCACTGCAACCTCCACCTCCTGGGTTCAAGCAATTCTCCTGCCTCAGCCTCCCAAGTAGCTGGGTATACAGGTGCACACCACCATGCCCGGCTAATTTTTGTATTTTTAGTAGAGGCAGGGTTTTACCATGTTGGCCAGGATAGTCTTGATCTCCTGACCTCGTGATCTGCCCGCCTCAGCCTTCTGAAGTGCTGGGATTACAGGTATGAGCCACCACGCTTGGCCCACAGACATCTTTCAATGCCCACTCTTCAATAATGTCTTTCCCAACTACTTCATTTTGCATTCATTGTTTGAGTCTCTAAGCTACTATTATGCTCACCTTCAGTGTCATGCATTTAGTATTTAAATGTTGTCTAAATTGTTTCACATGCATTTCTTCCCAGGTCATTTGTAAGGTCATTGAGTGCAGGGTCTCCTTATCTCTCATGTGTTTTCTTCACAATAGTTAATGTAATGCTACTTACATAATAGACTGTCCATAAATATTTGATTATTGCTAGCAATAATCAGAAGCTGCAAAAGAATAAAATATCATCATCATGATGATGTTTGATACCATCAGCTAACATCTTTTTAATGCTTAGCTTGTGCCAAGAAGTGTTAAACATTGTCCACATATCATCTCATTTAATCCTCACAGCATATCCCTATATGAAGTAGCTTCTATTACTATCTTTATTTCATAGAGGGGGAAATGGAGGATTAGAGAGGTTAAGTTACTTGTCCGTGTTACATAGCCAATAAGGGGTAGAGCAGGAATTCCAATCAAAACCTATCTTATGACAATCTTAGGTAGATAATGGTGGAGCCACCTCTCCTCCTTTAACAGAGATTTTTGTACTTTAATTACGTAAAATATAACCATGAAAAGCAAAAATGATGTAACAGCAATGGAAATCATTGCACTGTTGAAATGGAGTTGAAATACTGAAAAATGATCACACTTTGCACTCCTTCTTTTGTCATCTTTCTGACTCTGGCTCTAACTCTAATATTCCCGGTACATTGGTACAAATTTGGAATGTGGTATGCTAATGTCTCTGTTACTTTTTCCTTTACAGTAACTGACTATACTACTGGCAGAGTTGGAGCCCCTCTTATTTGCTGTGAGATTAAGCTAAAAGACTGGCAGGAAGGTAAGAATTTTATGGAAAGCTCTAGTGATTCAGGATATGCTGAAAACTACTATCAGCTTTTTGACTTTAATTTCTTTAAAGTCTGGGGACACAAATAATTCTCTGCTGTTTTGCTGTTGCCTGTCCCAGTGCATTCTTTTTCCTCAGTGATATCTTTAGGTTCCCACGAGGAAAACAAAATCTCTAGAATCTAGGATTAATGATTCTGAACTTGACAATACTTCAAGGTAAACAGAAAAAAATTCCTACTGGGGCTTTTTCTGGGATTGGAGAAGGTGAGGATCCTTGAAACTTGACTTTACTAAAGAGAATGATTGGGCTAAGAAAGAAACCCCAGATTTTTAGGAGATAGAGTAATGGGTTGCACACATACACACACCAACTTCTTGGATCCTGACCTGAGCAAAGATTTTCATAGTTCAGACTCAACTGTTCAGCTATTTGTATAGTTGAATTTTTATATGTACCTGCAGAGACAAGCCACTTAGAAGAAACCTACGGACATTGATGATCATCCTTTCTATAAATTAGCTGAAGGCAAATGTCAGTCGGTCTTCTTAATGAAAGATACTAAATATAGACATTAACTACAATAAAGTGAATTGTTAAATAAATAATTAACAGCCTAGCCATGCCAGATAAAGGAAGAATAATTAAAATGCTTAAGATTTTAAAAGAGAATATTTACCTTAGGATGGAATCATGGGCTAAAAATTTAAAGTACGTGTTACCTTGCAGGATGTAACCCTTAGGTCATCCAAAGCCCCCAAAATCAGTATGTTTTTATCTAACATAAATTTTAAGTTTCTAAAGCATTTTTTATGTGTGCTATTATAAGTGCTCTATGAGCAAATGACTATTTCTTTTTAAAAAACATATTTAAAAAAGCCAGTTGCATTCCCAAGAGTTTTACACCTTGGGACTTAGTCTTCTCTTCTTCCATAGTAATGGCATTCCAATTTTACTTTGAAAGTCTGAAGAAAATAGTATGTGCATATGTGTTTTGGACATCAACATCAGAATTATTTTACTAGATAAGTTTTTATTTGTTAGGCAGTGGAGTCAGATAAATGTTTAAAGGCAAAAATCTCCTTACCAAGTTTTTCTATAATTTTTATTTTCTGATTTCCTGGTACTGGGCCTTAATATCAGTTTTGGGGAGTAGGTCCATTGTTAAACATGCATTTGGAGTTTTCCTTGCTGTGAAGACTCCTTGGCTTTATACTGTAGGAGTAATCTCAGTTTTTTTCATACAATGGGTTTTATCATGTTGAAATTTTGAATAGTTTTAAATTTATGAGAGCAGCTAACAACTGAAAGGAACCCTGATGTTAATCCTTTTATGACACAAAATCTAATCTGTATCTTAGTTTACAAATTTAGATTTTCTTAAAGTAAGCTTTATTCAGTAATAAAGAGTTAATGCATAGTGCTAAAATATATTAGTAGTTATTGTCAATTAGTTTAATGTTTGAACTTTTAAAGTCATGACTGGCCATAGGCAAAACTAATACAGTTTCCTTCCTGTTTCCCATAGTCCCCTTTTCCTTCTCACTTTATGGCACTACCTTTTTAAGATACTTACTACATGTTCTCTTTGATTAAAATCTCCTTAGAAAAAAATTTGAAATGCATTGATATCAATGTGTTAGTAATTTACTTATAACAGCTTCAAGTGTTACTCTTCCTGGGGTGGAGAGCTCTATAAACACCTAGCTGATGGTGTTCTGTGAAATGTTACGATATGGGAAGGTTTGAGATGGGTAATTGTTGGTGGTAATTATCATTGAATCTTTCCTGGTGTTTTTAAAATCACAGTCACCCACTATCCTCATGTAAATCTTAGAAAATATAACCTAATGTTCTCTCATAAAGTTATATAAAATTTGATCAGCAGAAAAATACTAACATACAAGCTTTAAGAATTAATGAAAGTAGATTTTGTTGTAGAACAATAACGAATTTACTTTTATGATTTCCAGGCGGTTATACAATTAATGACAAGCCAAACCCCAGAGGCGAAATCGTAATTGGTGGACAGAACATCTCCATGGGATATTTTAAAAATGAAGAGAAAACAGCAGAGGATTATTCTGTGGATGAAAATGGACAAAGATGGTTTTGCACTGGTGATATTGGAGAATTCCATCCCGATGGATGTTTACAGATTATAGGTCAGAATGTTTACTTTTTATGGTTTTCTTGAGTTTTTATAACTTCAATATATATGAAAGGTAATATTGATCAGTCATCAGTAAGGTTGATGGTTCCATTCATTCAAATTCTGGACAAGTTATTTAACTTATTTATGAGCTTTTCCATCAGTAAAACAGGGACAATACCAACCTCATAGGGCTGTTGCTAAGATTAAATGAGTTGATATATGTAAAATATTCTAAACAGAGCCTGAACGTTAGTGTAAGTACTAGCAGCAGTAGCAACAACAGCGTTGAGTGTAGCGAGAATGGGCAGGGAAATAGCAGATTAGTAATGAGAAAACAAAAAGAGCTCAGAGGAGGTCTTTCTTGGTCAACCACATGTGATTTTTGTATAACTATTTCCGTAACATACTCTATGCTAGGCCTTCTTCACTCTACCTTTCCACCCAAGGGGCAGCATGGACACACACACACACACACACACACACACACACACACACAAATCTATCTATCTATCTATCTATCTATCTATCTATCTATCTATCTATCTATCTTACTGTTGGCTATTTATATGGGTCTAACTAGGCCTGAACTTTAGAAAATTAGTATCAATACTTAGCACTAGTCAGTTTTGAGAATGTCAGTTACTTTGGCATTGTCCTTATTGAGCCTACTGAAATGGACCTTTATGTTCAAGAACTGACTCCAAAATGGGCCCTTGTGATATTCACTTTGATGAGGCAAAAGTTAAAACAAAACTTGTTGATGAGGACCACTCAGCAGGATCCCAATCAGGTCTTTTTTAAGATATAGAGTTTCCTCAACTATGTCTAGTGACTGGTTTCAATCTGTCTCTGGACCTCACGATATTTGACCTGAATAACGTTAGAGATTTCCTGGGAAAATTGGTTCTTCATCTAGAAATTTGATCTGCTGGAGAAATTCCCAGGAACCCATGGTTCAGTTGAGAACCAATAAGCTTTTTTTCCCCTTGTTTCTTAACTGCACTGGAATCAAAGGTTATTTCTGTAGAGTGGGCTCCCAGGCTATGGGTAGGCAAATCAGCACTCACACAAAGGTTCCCAGGCCATGTAATCATTATTCAAGCTGTGCCATCCAGTGCTAGCACTTTTTTAGAGCACTGTCATTTTAACAAGATAATGTCAAATGTGGAAAAGGAGAGTTAACATGTGTTAAATGTGTTCTATATGCCAGACATTGTGGGATATGTCTGTAGGAGGCAGGCATCATTATCTTGATAAAACTGAGGATTAAGAGGTTAACTGACATGCCCAGAATCACTTATCTAGTACTAGGCAGAGTTACCATTGAAATTGAATGTTCCAAAGTCCTAGTTCCTTCTATTAACTTGATTATAATATTTAAGATTATAATAAGGTGCCAAAACTTTGGATATAAAGTGTAACTTTTAGCCAATACTTACTTAACTAGGGACTTTCTTTTTAACTGGTGTGTATGGGGAAGCATTATATAGATGCAGTTTTTGCCACTTTAAAAGTAATGGCAAAAACCACAATTACTTTTGCACCAACCTAATCATAATTTTAGAAGAAATAGTTTTGTACATAACAATTAAGGCAATGATATTCAAAGAAGACAGAATTGCATATACCTTAGTAAAACAGACTATGGATGACTTAACATTCTTTATGACTTAACAGATCGTAAGAAAGATCTAGTGAAGTTACAAGCAGGAGAATATGTATCGCTTGGGAAAGTGGAAGCTGCACTGAAGAATTGTCCACTTATTGACAACATCTGTGCTTTCGCCAAAAGGTAACTTTCCAAAGTTGTATTTTTTTTTGTTTCATAAGTCAAAAGATATTTAGAAAAGAATGTGATTACATATTATCATAAGGGTAACATCGATTTCTCTTAGAATTTTCATCAGATCTGGGGAATTGTACATTTATGAAAGTTACTGAATTCAATAGCTTGAGCATCATTTGAGATAATGCAGACACGTTAACTGTTTATTGGACACCTGCATCTTGCTTAAATACTTAACTATGTCACAAGTTATTTCATTTAAAATCCATGACAACTGAGACTTAGCATAAGTAATTTTCACAATAAAGTAAGACAACTACTACATTTGAGATGAGTTTTGAACCCAAGTTTTTCTACATCAAAAGCCTTAAGAGACTGAGTCAATTTCTTTATATGTTGATATATCTTATTTTTATGGATTTTATTCTTTTTAAAAATTGTAATTGCGGTAAAAAGCATGTAACTAAAATTTACCATCTTAACCATTTCTAAGTGTACAGTTCAGTAGTGTTGCGTATATTTACATTGGTGTGCAGCCAATCTCCAGACCTTTTTTTTCTTGCAAAATAGTCTATACCGATTATTAAACAACAACTCCCATTCTTCCTCCCTGCTTCCCCTGGAAACCACCATTCTACTTCCTGTTTCTGTGAACTTGACTTCTCTAGAAATCTCACATAAGTAGAATTATATAGTTTTTGTCTTTTTGTGTTTGGCTTAATTCCCTTAGTATAATGTCCACAAGGATTATCCATGTGGTAGCATATGTCAGAATTTCCTTCATTTTAAAGTCTTAACAATATTTCATTGTATCCATAGAATGTATGTTGTTTGTATATTCATTATCAGTGGACACTTTGGTTGCTTTCCCTTCTTGGCTATTGTGAATAATGCTCCTAGGAAAATGGGTATGCAAATATCTCTTTGAGATGCTGCTTTCAATTATTTGGATAAATGTCCAGGAATTGCTGCTGGCTCATATGACAGTTCTATTTTTAATTTTTTAAGGAACTGCAATACTGTTTTCCATAGGAACAGCACCATTTTTACATCCTATAACAGTACACAAGCATTCTATTTCCTCCACTTCTTCGCTAGCACTTGTTTGTTTTTTATAATACTCATCCTCATGGATGTGAGGGGATATTTTATTTTGGTTTTGATTTGGATTTCCCTAATGATTAGTGCCACTGAGCACCTTTCCCTATGATTGTTGGCCATTCATGTATTATCTCTGAAGAAATGTCTATTCAAGTTCTTTGTTCATTTTTTAAATTGAGCTATTTGGTTTTTTGTTGAGTTGTGGAAATTATATATTCCATTTATTAACCCCTTATCAGATAGATGATTTGCAAATCTTTTTTTCTGTTCCATAGATAGCCTTTTTACTTTGCCAATTGAGTCTTTTGATACACAGAAGTTTTTAATTTTGACGTAGTTGCAGTTATCTGTTTTTGCTTTTCTTGCCCTTGCTTTTGGTGTCACATCCAAGAAATATTACCAAATCTATTCTTATAAGGTGTTTCTTCTATTTTTTTTTTCTAGGAGTTTTATAGTTTTATTAGATTGGTACAAAAGTAATTGCAGTTTTTGCCACTAATGTATAAATCCACAATTACTTTTGCACCAAACTAATAGTTCTTAAATGTTTAGCTTTTTTATCCATTTTGAGTTAATTTTTTTTTTTTTTTTTTTTTTTTTTTTATGGGTTTTTTTTTTTTTTTTTTTTTTTTTTTTTTTTTGAGACGGAGTTTCGCTCTTGTTACCC